GGCTGAATGCGCACGCGCGGCAAGAGGTGCGCGCGTTCAGCCGGTCGCATAGGAAAGCATTATCAATGCTTTCCTATGGATGCTTGCGTGCTCTCACTGTGATTTTCACAGTGAGAATCACGCAAGCGCCTCTATCAGCTGTCAATGAGACAGCCGCTAGAGGCTTTGGGGGAAGGCTTAACCCATTCATAAACATAGCAGTTTCTCTGAAACTGCTATGTTTATAAAACAATGGGTTAAGCCTAGCTAGACCTGGCACCCAGACCACTTCATTAAGCTGAAGTGGTCTGGTTGCCTAGAGTGGTCCTTTAAAGAGAAAAATTTCAGAGAAAATGTGTATTTTATAAAGTATAAAAAAATCCAACACTTACATCCTCTGAAGTAATAGGTAAAAAAACCACGAGGATGAAACATACATCAAATCAAAAGTCCCACCAGAAATATCAAATCCTCCCATTTCAGACTGTACATTAAAACAAGGCAAAATAAATAATTCACTATAAAAGCTGTTAGCACTATAATACCATATTGTACAATGTGGGCTGTGCAAACCAGGCTTCCCATCAACAACAAAACATAAAACCTCGCACTGGGTCAGATTTAGCACAGAAACAGAATAAACAAGAAATGATTTACTTTCCTTTACAAATCCACCCACACTATTCCTGTAACTAAAACAATCCCCTTTCTAGTGCACTGTCTAAATGTAAGCATGTAGTAAACTTGTGACGCAAGTTGCAAACTGTAGAAGCAAGGTTAGGGAACCTTCGGCACTCCAGATGTTGTGGACTACATCCCCATAATGTCTTTACACCCATAATACTGGCAAAGCATCATGGGAGGCGTAGTCCAAAACATCTGGAGTGCCGAAGGTTGCCTATGCCTCTGTAGGGGCTGGGGCAGTTTTTTTTTTTACTAGGCTAGCTGCGATTACAGGCTACTCTTCATCATACTGACACACAAAGCTTTCATAGTACATATAGCACTGACCAGGCTATTCGTCATTGTAGCTAGTAACAAACCTGTCACTCTATATGTAGCAGGTCGTTTTTAATATCCAGTTTTAGACATAGGTTTCAGACTGGAATTATACTGCATGTTGTATAAAGTGATATATTTTGAAACATTAAGCATTAAAATGATTGTGAGACAATGGTATAATCACAGAAACTGTATATCTTGTCAATATCTCTGCAAATATTATTGAATAAATAATTTAAAAAAGGAGTGTATTCAGTGATTAGATTGTTAACAGTTAAATTGACATGTGGTACTTTGAGATACCTGCCTTCTTTAAAAGCTTTAGCTATAGCCTTACACTGTAGGCTGAAAAAAATCAGGTAAATATGGTTTATTTTCATATTTACCTGCTGATTCTTTCTTATGCTTTCCACACCCACTCCAGGTGGACACTGATCTAGCCAATCAGTGTCCTATCCCTTGGAATACTCGAAATGTGCATTAGGCATGCTTGACAAAGTCACATATGTACAGTTAACCTGGCAACATCCTAAAGGTGGAGAAGAGAGGGAGTCTGACCAGTGAGATTAATGCAGGCTCTGCTGCCGAGTTTCTATCTCCCTGCTGTCAGAACATGGGAGAATGAGGAACTTGGTGCTGCTACACAATGATGTATTTCTGTCTTCAGTGGACTGGCCTGGGCTGGATTAGTGGGTTGGTAATGGGGAGGGGGCTGAAGAAACTATGCAGCTGAAAGGCATTTCTCTACCTAATGCACTACACTTACCAAAATGTCATAGAGAGTGCTAAAAAATGGAGAATGGAAATTCCATAGTTAAAAAAGATATATTTTGACTTGAATTGTTTCTTTAAATTCTTTTCTCAGTGGAGTTCCTGAAAATAAGTCATATTAATGTAGTTCTCAGCTTGATGCCAATATTGTATTATATATTGTGCTAGCAACACACCTTGGAAGAAAATTGAGTGATTTCATAGAAATTATTTTGTAGCAGAACTAATTAAATTGAAATTGCTTAATTTTCCAAGACTTTACAGATATGAAGATTTTAACTGTTTGTCTATCATCTCTTAGTGAATAAATACCTTTTGGACTGAGGACGGTAAAAGATGTGTACAAAGAGAACATATCTCACATGGCAGTGCTCTGTGAAATGAGATGCACTGATAGTAGTGAACATAATAAAGATGGCAACAGAAAAGTGGATATAGAAGGCTTTAATGTGCCAGATGTAGACTGGTTACCAATGATTCAAATTTCTGAGTATAGTTACTTCACGACTTGAAATGGATGTTTCAGTTATTGTTACCAAAACATTTCAGAGAATTGGAGTAGAGAGGTATTGGGTTCCACCTCAAACCAAATTACAGTCTCAGTGGGGGATAAATGACGTGTAAAACGAAGGAAGATGACCGAGAGAGGTACAAACTGACAATCCAAAATCAAGGATATTTGTAATAATAATAATAATGTAATGTTTCAAAGGTCAGGACAGCATAGAGCAGGAACAAGAATGTATAAATAAGCCAATAAGCAGTAGGCAGGAGACAGAACTACTGGTGCAGGAACTAAAGCTGTCACGACACTCCTTAGTTGATTTGCCCTCATGCAGTACCCACACTCACCACTATCACTGTTTGGCACTGTTCCTAATTTATTTTCATTAGCACTTCACCTGGTCCTCGTTTTAGTACCTATATAGTCTGGTTTTTCACCTCACTCATAGGCGTGCGCATGGGGTGTGCCGGGTGTGCCTGGGCACACCCTAATCCCCATGGCACGCCTATGTTTTGAGTCCTGCAGGAACAGCGTTCCTGCGCTTTTTTTTGAGCAGGAACGCTGTTCCTGCAGGCACTCAGCGCCCCCTGACTCACCTCTTGCCCCTGTCATGGGGAGGGCAAGAGGTGATAGATCCCCCCCCTCTCTGCATCTCAGCCGCGGCGAGGCAGCTGTCTGCTCTCCGCGCGCTGATGCCGGGAGCCGGAATATGACGTCATATTCCGGCTCCCAGCTACAGCAGACAGCCCGCACAGCGAGAGGGAGCGGAGAGCAGACAGCTGCCTCACCGCAGCTGAGATGCAGATAGGCGCCCGCCCCACTGGATCCCAGGGAAAAGTCCATGCCAGGTAGGGAGGCTGGGTGGACATTGTATTATTAACCCCTTCACGACCGAGGACGGTCCTGAACCGTCCTAACGGTCTGAGTTACTTACCTGATCGCCGTCGTTCCCCCGGCGGCGATCAGCGTTGCTCTGGTTGTGGGGAGACTGCCTGCAGCCCAGACAGTCTCCCCACACTGAATTAG